GTGAGTGTTCCACTGTATTCAGCATTGGTGCAGCCTCACCTGGTGTGCTGTGTGCACCTCTGGGCCTCATAATTTAAGAAGGATATGAATGTCCTTGAATGTGCCCAGAGGTGGGTAACAAAGCTGGAGCAAGGGCTGGATGTCATATCCTGTGAGGAGTAGCTGAGGATGCCAGGTTTGCCTGTATTGGAGACAAAAGAGGCTGCTGAGGGGTGACCTCACTGCTCCCTACTTCAGCTTACTGAGGAGGGGAAGTGGAGAAAAAGGTGCTGAGATCTTTTCCCTGGGATTCAGTGACGGAATATGTGGGAAGAGTTCAAAGATGTGCCAGGGGAGGTTTAGACTGGACATTGGGAAGCATTTCTTTACCATGAGGGTGGTCAAACACTGGAACAGGCTCCTTAGAGAAGTGGTCAATGTTCCAGTCTTGTTAGGGTTTAAGAGGCATTTGGACAATGCCCTTAATAACATGACTTAATTTGGCCAGCCCTGAATTGTTCAGACAGTTGGACTGGATGACCATCGTAGTTCCTTTCCAATTAAAACTATTCTAGTCTAATCTTGTCTATCTATTTCTATTCTATTTTTAAACTGCTGCATATGGTGATTTTCAAAAAAGAAATGTTACTTGTTTCATGTTCCAAATGAATAGACATTTTTATTTGGTTTACTTTATTTTTTCATTTTCCTCTGATAAAGAGCTGGCAAATATGTCAATGCAAATTCACAGAACATGACACATAGAGCATTTGTCTTGAAATTATGCAAGCATCAATCAGATTCAACATATGACCAAGGTACAGAAACATGACGGCTAAAGAAGACTCTCAAAATTATTCTCTAAATCAATACTGGGAAATATTTTTAAAATATCTATGACATTTTCGAAGTACGGGATTCTTCTTGGATATAATAGCATGCATTTTCTATTAGATTATGATGTGTTTATTTAAAAAAGAAAATAAATCACTTTTCTCAATGAAAGGTGCTTTTTTTTTCTTTTCTGAAAGAAAAAAGAGCAAAATTATAATGTTTTCCTTATTTAACTGCTATACATTTAAAGTCATTAATTATTAATTCTATAAGCAAGAATTAAAATTGTAGTGGTGGGGATTACTAGCAAACTTGTAACTGTTTAAACTTAGGCTCAGCAACTGAAATAAAGAAAAAAAGAAAACAAAGAAGACTTGTCCACTACCACTCAAGAATTCTGTCAAATTATGATAATGTGTATTTTTACATCCTTTATCCATACTGTGAAGCAAACAATCCTGTTGAACTTATAAATACACTTAAGAAATAATAAATGAAGATTAACAAGAAACATGTTTTCCATTCTAGCTACATAGCTATTCACCAGCAAAGAAGTATCAGACTGCTTAATTAATTTGAAAAACCACGGAAAAAATTTAAGACTGCTTTGAAAACTCACTGCGCTAAAGAAAAGCAGCTGGGGGTTAAATCCAGGTGCATTCATATCCAGTAGAAGATAACAGAAGTAGATTGAAGTCAGAGAGTAGTGCATAAGAACCAGTAATAATGGAGATGATACATCCCCTTCATGTAGCCTGCATGACATTATAAAAGGCTCAGGTCTCAAGGAACAAATTTGAATTATGAATTTTTTTGCAGCGGTAGATACCTATTTTCTTATTCATATCTTCCTCAGCAATATCTTCTTATAATACACTGTGTATTCAGTTTTAAGAACTTACAGACCACTCACAATATCTGTGCAACTGTATTGTGCGGCCCGAGTTTGGTAATGGGGGGGGAGTACAGGATTAGGCTTCTGTGAGAAGCTGCCAGAAGCTTCCCCTGTGTCTGACAGATCCTGTGCCAGCCAAGGCAGACCCACCCCTGGCCAAGGCTGAGCCTGTCAGTGTTGATGGCAGCACCTCTGTGATAACAGACTTAAGAAGACAGAAAAAACCTGAGCAAAAGCAACTGCAGCTGGAGAGAGGACTGAGAACATGAAGGGAAAAGCTCTGAAGATGCCAACATCAGTGAAGAAGGAAGGAGAGGAAGCGCTCCACGCACTAGAACAGAGATTGCCTGGCAGCCCATGATGCAGACTGTGGTGAGACCAGCTATCCCCCTGCAACCCAAAAAGTGGAGCAGCACAAGGAGGAACCCACACCAGAGCAGCTGGAGGTCCAAAAGGAACCTGTGACCCTGTGGGAAGCCCAACTGGAGCAGATTAGCTGGAAGGACTTGTGCTCTCATTGGGGGTCCCACACTGAAGCAGTGTACAAGGCACACAGGCTGGAGCATTTAATGAAGAACTACAGACCTGGGAAGGTCTCACCTTGTAGAAGTTTATGGAGCTCTGTCTCATGTGGGAGGGACCTCATGATGGAGAAGATGATGGGTGTGAGGAATCCAACCCCAGAGAAGGAAGCAGCAGCAGAGACAATGTGTGATGAACTGGCTGCAGCCCACATTCCCTGTTCCCCTGCACAACTGGCAGGAGGAGGGAATCAAGTTCAGCTCAGAACGAAGGCAGCAATGAGGGGAAGGTGTTTAGGATTTGGTTTTATAGCTCATTATTCTACTCTGATTTTGACAGGTAATAAGTTGAACTTATTTTTCCCCAAGTTGAGTCTGATTTGCCTGTGACAGTAATTGCTGAGTGATCTCTCCCTGTCCTTATCTCAACTGACAATCCTTTTGTTACATTTTCTCTGCCCTGTCCGTCCAAGAAGAGGACTGACAGAGTGGCTTCAGTGGGCACCTGATATCAAGCCAAGGTCAGTCCCTCCTCCCGGTGACTTTTAAATGAAGTATTAAAATCTATGGGAACAAGATGACTGTAAAGAATTACAGCTCATTTGAATAACAGCACCTCCAACGCACTGACTTTTGCTAGCATTGCAGTTGCAGCATGATATGATTACTTCATAATCACGGGCAATAGAGATTTCGAATGTTTTCTGAGGAACCTGCATTATTGTCACATAATAACATTGATTTAAGATTTTTCTCCCTGTGTTGGTTACAGTGACATCTGCAGAGAGCAGTTAGTTTTGAATGCTTGATACTCTCATCACAGCAAAGATTAATACTGATACAAGGGCATCTGCCAGGTTCATTTTACAATCTCAACAGAAAATGAATTTGTTGATGGTTTTTTTTGTAAGATGGTGATTTAATAAGTTTTCCATTGTCAAAGTAAAGACAAGATTATTTTAATTACTAATCTATTTCTTTTCTGAATCTGAAGTACTCTTCAAGTAACTAAAATTCATGGGTCATATATTAGCATTAATATTTAGTTGTTAAAAAGAAACAAAAAGAGTCAATTCAATAGTCCACAAACTGTAATGCATTTGCAGACAATAATTCAAGTCAATAATACCAGACAGTAATTCAAGAAAATAATACCACCTGGCAGTACTCAGTGACCATAAACTGGGATTGGGTCTTGTGAGTGCCCATTGTTCTCCAGGTGAACAACACTGGTTTGACTCCAAATGTAATATTGCTTGGTTAACAAACACGTGAAGCGAGGAGTACAGTGGTGAATTAACTCCTATAAATTTCCAGGGTGTTTTGCATTCTCGCTTCTCAGATTCTACAATATTGAGCCTACTTGACTGAAACCTTTTTTCTCAAATTTGAATTACAACTTGTCATGTGGCTTTGCCAGAAGGATTTCATGCAAAAGATGGAGAAATACTATTTACACCTTTTTATTGGACATGCAAGAAGCATAGGAGTCAAATAAAGGACAAGACAGTGAACAGTAGATTTACATAGTAATTAATATTGAAATGCTGCCAAAAATCTGGTATAACACAGGTAAGCAAAGGATTGTTTAAGATGTGGACATCAAACGTCACATGTCTTCCAAAAAAATTCATACATACTGAAGGAAAGGAGAACAATTTTTTCCTGAGGCACATATTAAGTCTACGTTATGAAATCTGCATTTGACAAAATTAATTCCATGCAATGTCTGGCATTTTTAGTCCACTAAATATCTAGCAGATAATATCTTTATTGAAAAGCATCACATTACACATATATAGAGTGTATATATATATATATATACACACATATACAACTGAGGACATAGGCCACTTATTTGAAGAGCTTGCTTCAAAAATTATAAAACTGAATAAGTGGAAAAGCTCTAGAGGCCGACACCGAGGTAGACACATGGTTTGGCAAGAATTACTTGTGCAGGGGATGGATGAGCTGCTAAAGAGCACTGAGGCTGAAGGCCACGACACCCACATCCAGGGAAGCCCCAGGCACTGACACAGGAGGGCAAAGTCTTATGGGGAGAGGCTGAGGGAGCTGGGGTTGTTGAGCCTGGAGAAAAGGAGGCTTAGGAGGAATCTTACTGCTCTCTACGACTGCCTGAAAGGAGGGTGTAGCCAGGTGGGGATCAGCTTCTTCTCCCACGCAACCAGCCACAGGACAAGACGACAGTCTTAAGCTGTGCCGGGGAGGTTTAGTTTGGACAACAGGAAAAAATTCTACGCAGAAACGGTGATTAGACACTGGAATGGGCTGCTCAGGGAAGTGAAGAGGCACCGACCATGGAGGTGCAAGACTGGACACGTCACCGGGCGGCATGGTTTAGGTTACACGGTGGTTGGTGTTCGGTCATACGTTGAACTCGGTACAGACTGCGTCTTTATCAACGTAATTCATTCTGTGATTCTGTGAAATACTGCTGGGCGCTGCCCCCACGGCGTGTTCCACGCCGGGCATAACCGGGGCGGGCGGCCGGGCTCAGCAGCGGCGGCACCTCGGCGGGACGCGTTCGTCTGCACCGAGAACGCGGCGGAGGCGCGGCCTGCAGCCGACGTAGGCCTGAGCGCGGCGCCGGCTCGGCGGAGCGCGGAGACCCGGGCAGGCACCAGCGGAGGCCGGGGGCACCGGGACAGCCTCGCGGGGGGACCGGGACAGCCCCGCCGCGGGCACCGGCGGAGCCCCACGGGCCGAACTCGGGCCCCGCCCGCTCGCCGTACGGCAGTGTCGCGCCGCGCCGGCTCTTGGCGGCAGCGGAACCGGCGGGCCGTAAGGCAGGTGCGCGGCGGGCGGGGGTCGGGCGGGCGCGGCGTGGGGGCCGCGGGGAGGCTCCGGGCGGGCGCTGCTCTGCGCCAACGCCGGTGCGGAGCCGCGGTCCCGCAGCCCGGTGGGGAATGGGACCGCCGGGACCGGCCTGCCCAGGCGCGGAGGAGCGTCCCGCCGCCGCTGCGCGGGTCTCTGCCCGCAGCCCCCGGGGCAGGGGCGTCGCTGCGCTGCTGGCGGGGCGCGGGGTTCGGGGCAGCCGGGCCGCGGGGCTCGGGATAGTCGGGCCGCTGGCCGGTACCACGCGTTGCCTCCGGCGGGCAGGGCAGGCAGCGTGCCCGGGGCTGGCAGCAGCGGGGCCGGGGCTGGCGGAGCGCTCGGCGTGCCCCAGCCCCGGCGCGCACCGCGGCCGGTGATGCCAGGCCCCTCCTGAAGGCCCGGGTGCCGTGCGCTCCCCCCTCCGTGCCGGGCTTTGCTTCTCGGAACGGCTTTGCTGGTGGGAGTGGTCAAGTGGGAAACGCACCGCTGTCGAATGTGCTTTCAGTACTTATTAGTGGTATTAATAAATTTAGAGACCCAGAAGTGAAGAATGAAAAAAGCATGTGGTCACGTAGAGTGTTTTTTCCTTTCGGGTGCTGCTTCATTTTGTTTGGTAGTGACAGCTTTGCTTATAAAACCCTTGACAGTCTTGTAGCGACCTAAGGCTTACAAGTCCGGTGCGTCAGGAGTGTGTATCGTATTGGAATTCAAATAATACTTTTGCTTAAAAACTTATGTGATTTGTGAGTGTAGGTTTTGTTGTTGTTCTTAAAATACTAACATTGGTGTAGACTCTAAGTCTTACGGCTTTTTGAACAATTGACTGTAAGGTAGTTCTGTTGAAGTGAAACCAGTAAATGTAATTTGTGTAGAAATCTAATAGTCATGCTTAGTTACTTTCCAGAAGATAGACTTGATTTGAGTCTAGCCAATGACTAGGAAAAAAATATTGGAAGTTTCAGAGACAGTGCAGCAAGAGTTCTGTATGTTCACATGGTAGGTTGCAGAGCTAAGTTTTTAAGAGGAAGAAAACCAATCCAGCTGTCAGGTCAGATGCAAACTGTCCTTCATCTAAAGATGGCATTGATGATAACAATGCCATCTTTACACAATGGTGAGGTGGTGTGTCTGATTAAACACATGCTGCTTTTCAGCAGGTGCTGTAGTAAAATGATTTCCTTTGGATCTGACTTGCTTCTGGCCAGAGGAGAGTAAACATGCATCATCTTGGAATTATATGTGTAGATTTTGGAAGAACTCTCGTCACATTTGTATGGGAGTACAGACCAACTCCCAGCTGTGGACTTTATGCACTGTATAAAGGCCTGTATATACTATTGTATGTGTAGTTTACATGTTAGACCTCAGTTTTCTCTAAAAGGTAGCTTGGCCTTTGGAAGAGGTTATGTCACAACTTCCACTGAATCAGAGAGAAGGCAAGAAATTGTCAAACAGCAGTGTTTTATTCTGATAGTTCTGTGTTTACAGAACTTGCTTTGAAGCTAAACCTGAAGCTCCTGGAGCAGGTCTGGTGGAAGCTGTGAAGATGATTAAAGGACTGACACGTCTCTCTTACGAAGAGTGGCTGGGAGAGTTGGGCCTGTTCAACGTCAAGAAGAGACAAGTGAGAGGAGACCTCATAAATGTGTATAACTGTCTGAAGAGAGGGTGTCAAGAGGATGGATCAAGGCTCTTTTGGTGGTGCCAAACACTAGGACCAGAGACAATGGGGAGATGTTCATGCACAGGAAGTTCTGCTGGTACATAAGGAAGAACTTCATTGTATAGATGACTGACCACTGGAACGAGTTGCCCTGAGAGGTTGTGGAGTCTCCTTCACTGGAGATACTCAGGAACTGTCTGCACTGTGCCTTGTGCTTTAGGATGGGCCTGCTTGAGCAGAGAGGTTGAACCAGATGATCCACCATGGTCCCTTGTAGCCTTACCCATTCTATGATTATGTGATCAAGACAATTGTAATTTGGCCTCTATAAAGTAGTTGCAGTCCCTTTCTTTTCAGTATAATTTTCAGTTTTCTATTGTGTAGTGTTAGTTCTGTTTTCAGGAAGAACATTTATAGTTGAAAAATATTTTTTTACAGAGTTAATAGAAAAATCATCCTTCTTAAAAGGCTGGTGTATATTTCTGCAGGTCCTATTTACCTACAGTATTTTCTCTGAAAAAGTTATCCTTTATAAATACTAAACTGAGCTCAGGCTGATCCATGTTATTCGTGCATGTTTCATTCCTCTTCTGTTACAGGAGCTAGTTACAAATAGTTACAGGAGCTGCTAATGGGGTGTGGAGGTGGTTGTGGGAAGGGAAGACACATGTTGTCTTTCTCTGGTTAGTTATAAAGTTAAGTTTATTTGGAAGCTGTTAGAGATGGGATTAATACCAGCTCATATGGGTGTTTTGAGTGCTGAACAGGTTTCTTTTCTCCCTCCTACAAAATTTCCCCATGGAAAATTGAAGTCCTCATTACTCTAAATAACAGCTTACTGTTTTCCTGGTAAATTGTTTGTAGTAACAATTGTTGAAGTTAGTGTTGAGCACTTAGTAGCCTACACATTTTCTTATACTGAATTATGCTTTAATGTTTGAAGAGAGAACTGAGACCAAAATCTACTCTGTAGTTCAGATAAACTTATCTAATCAAAAGCAATTTAGCAAATTATCTATAATGTGTAGCTGGATGTTAGAAATATAACAGCTGATGTCTGAACTAAAAAGAGAAAGAAACAAGGGTAAGACCCAGAAACAGACTGAGAGACATTAGACTCCTAAATCCCAAATTGTAATCCTCAGAATCTCTGTTATTTCACCCTGTAGCTCTGTATCCAAAGATGTTTGTCTAGTGTCTCTCTCCTGTAGCAGCCAGTGGGAGGTGCTTAGGTGATCTACTGAAAAAAAAGGGAAGACGAATCCAATTATACCTTCACTTTCATATTATCTTTTGTAATCCACTATTTAAATGACTGATTATCACCTTCTAAGCTGTTGAGTTCAGAGGCTGCCAAGGTGTTTGATGTCCCTTAATTCATCTAGACATACCTGAACTTTTTGGCATCTTGTGGCAATGAATTCCCAAATTCAATTTTGTTCTTTGCAGGAAAGGCATTGTACTTGGGATTATTCTCACCTTAAACTATTAAGTTTTGTCATGTACCTCCTTATTCTTACATTATAAGCAATAGTCAGTCATTGTGTATTTAGCCCTTCTGGCTTTTTAAATACCTCATCACATCACAGAAAGGAGCAATTTTGTGTTTATTGCAAGCACAACCCATAAGAAAATGCACAGTCAGGGCATTCTTTATGCTCATCTCTCTCTGAGGAATCTGATTGCCTCTGTTTGAGCAATGCCAATGTGAGCACATTCCTATACTGGGTTTAGGAGTTAACTTTTGTCACAGTAGAAGTGCTTGAGATTTGTGGGTTGATAGCACTGCAATGTTTTGGCTGCTCCTGGCGTGCACAACATCAAAGCTTTCTTCCACCCTCCCTGCCCAGAAGTAGGGAGGGGGTGGGCAAGAGGCTGTGTAGGGACACAGCTCGGACAGTAGACCCAGACTGGCCAGTGGGATGTGCTGTACTGTGTATTGTCATGCTCAGAAATAAAAGCACAGGTCGAGGAAGAAGAAAGGGTGCGTTTTTGCTTTCAGGATGTCTGGTTTTTGGAGATTAGTAAACTGGAGCTTGTAGCATTGGTCACCCTGTGGGATGTGGTGAGCATTTCTTTCCTTCACTTGGGGGTTATTTTTCTTTTTCTTCATCTGTTAAACTGTATCTCAACCCTGTAAGTTTTTTTCCCCTTTCTTCTTCCTATTTTCTCCCCTGTCCCACTGTGGGGGGTGAACAAGCAGCAGCATGGCTGCTGACCAGGGTCTAGCCACCCCAACATTGCACAAACACATAAAAATGTGATTGAAGGAAACAATAGGAATAGCAGCATCCTATGGTTCTGTGGTAATCGTGCTCACTGAATTAACCAGTGTTGTGAAAGATCCCTATTCTGGGTGTTTCTTGAGCTTATTCCAGATATAGATATTCCTCTTGAAGTTGTACGTGACTGTGTGTAGTTCAAGGAAAATCCATGAGACAGTTCTGAAGCCAAGAAAGAGTTAGGCTTCTGTAGCAATGTGGACTGTTTGAGTATTGCAGAAAGGGCAGTTGGTATTCTCAGTCTTCTATTCACTACATAAACATGTGGGCTTGAGTTTGGTGGCCAACCTGTTGCTGAGTGCAGCTCTGAGATGTGAAATAAAACTTGTTCTTTTTCTGTGTCATTAAATCTAGTGGGTGCTAGAGGGAAATAACTTTAAAAGGAAGGTGCAGAATGTTTTACCTAGTTGATATTTTAGGGATGGAAGAGTTGCTGTCTCTCCCCTTTCATTGTATGTGGAATTTATGGGTATAAATTATATTCTTCCTTCGACTTTACTGTTCTAAAGCATGAGCTTACTCTGAGCCATCTGTTACTCTTTTTTGCCCAAAGGCATGTTGGATGTTTGGCCTAAAACATAGACTGAATCTGATATTACAGGCCTGCATCTTAAACATAAATAGGTCTTACAGCAAGAATAGATGATTGTGGAATGACAGGTTGGTGATTGAAGCATTTGTCAGGTGAATTGTGGAGCAAATTTCAGTTTTCCAGTTGTAAACTTGCTTCTGAGACGTTGTCAGATTAAGTAGATGACTTTGTACAGTTGTGACATCCTTGTCTGCATTCAAATACTCTGTAAACCATACAGCCATTTAAACAATTGCTCTTTCTTTGAAACTACTGAGGACTGCTGAACTGTGCCACTTAAGGAGTTTCTGTTTGGAAACTGGATTCTGATGAATTTGTTCAAGAAATAGGAAGACATTCGTCTTAGCTGCTGCTCTGAGGGGGAGCAAGTGTTCAGAAAATGAGTAGACATGGCACTTCATGATACATTTTAGTATCATGCATGGTGGTATTTGGTCAA